AGGGGTAGAATAAGATTCTTGAGATTTTTTGGTCACAGAAATCGGCTTGTAATTGATTGTGAGCCAATCCTGCATTTATGAAAATGCCTCAACCTGAAACTTAAGATAGTTTTGAAATTTCAAATATTTTCCAGAATCCACCGTCCAAGATTCTGTTAGACGAAGTTTGTATTAATAGATGACCGATCAGTTCAATATGTCATGCATGAATGCCTTTCAAATGAATTTTACGTGTTTAGAAATTGACTTATACAATAGAATATGATGGTTATTTTAACATTGTTAAATTTCCTTTTCTCAGCGATAAGCAATGGATATAAAAGTATGATGTGAATAGACATTCTTGGACTGGTGTTCATTAAAGAAGATTGGACACTGTCTAGAAAGTAGATTGTGTTTTAGTGTATAACATTCATTCCATGGCCCAAACTTTCGTTTGCTAATTAATGAGCCAACCCAAGTAGGCAGAGCCCACAAGCTATGGATAGTCGAGGCCTCACCCAAAACTTATATGATCATCAGGATTTTCGACGGCTTTTGTTCCTCTGATTTGTTGGAGCTGGGCCAATTTCCTGGTTTTTGATGCTCTAAGTACTGTTGGTTGTTACCGTTGGTTGTGAATCTGTGATTGCATTTGCATTCTTAGAATTTTGATTGAGGATAAAAAGAGTTAGCCTCCAATTAGTTAAGTGCTTGTTTTTTGATGTAAAGAAAATGGGGTCAAGAACTTATCAGTTAGCTTGCGCAGACTTGTGTGGACAATGAGATTCTATGGTGAGATTATTCATTTCAAATTATTTAAGATTCCTTTAATAACGTGATGAGAAAGATTTTTACTATATTATAATTGTATTTTATAATTGAATTTTAAAAAATTCAATCATAAAATAGTATCATGGTGCAATGAAATCTCTACTACCAAGTTACTAAAAGAAGCCTAAAGTATATAATAGAACAAGTAAAATACTAAACATTATTAAACATTTAATTAATTAGATTTTATCTATTTTAATTTATTTGTACAGTAGTAACATTAACCAAATAGTGGGATGGGACTTGTGAGCCCATGATATATACATATATATATATATTATATATATGCTGTCATTAAGTGCCCTTTTTATCTCTCAATCTGATATTTTTCCTTAAACTTTTTTCATTATTAGGATGATCAAAATAATGGCCTGGCTAGCCAAAAACTAACACAGTTTTCATAATCAAGACTTTTCACGTGTGCAAAGGCCGAAGGGTTTAGATAAACAAGTAAAAAAGAATGTACTAAAACCAGAGAACTTTTGGTGGAGTGGGCATCAAGTCGTTATCTTTGCTTTAGTAAGAAAAACACGTCGTTGGTTTACTTGTCTTTACTCTCCTGGAGTGGCTTGTAGGTGTGTGTGTGTGTGTGTGTGTGTGTGTTGTAGTTGCAACCTCTAAAGTGGTTTACTTAAAAAGCATCACACTATGACCACTACTTCCCAAACTTCCCATTACCACCAGTCGTTCAACAGAATGGATTGCTGTCTAATTCACAGATATGGTGTTAACAGTAATTGATCATATACTTGCATTAAGCAAAGGCTTTACTGGTTGGAACTTGGAAATTGTCTTCTTTTTTCTTTTTATACTGATAGAAGATTCGAATCCAACTATCTTGGCTATGAAAAGCAAACACTAATTATTGAGTTAAATGCTCTACCGCATATTATTTTTTTGACTAAGAAGGGGCTGGAAACAAAGGATATATACGATTATGTCAATCCTCCCAAATCGAATGGGATTGCCTATGTTTCGTCCATAGGACCATGTGTTAGTGGTGAAGAAACTGACATCTTAAGATTAATAGGTTCTTATCAAGGTTGAAAAGAAAAATGGTTCCTCATGCTTCATGTGACAGACTAAAATTGTGGACTGTGGCTTACTTAACACAGTGTGGAGGTTATCTTTTGTCACATGTGAAAGCAAGTGTTAAAAAGGATTGAGTTGACTTCCAATCCAACCCAGCAATGTCTATTGTTGCAATGGAATTTAGGATTCATTTAACAGCATGATGGAAGAAACTCTCGTAATGTTACAATTGTGTTTTATGATTGAATAATTTCTTTTATCGTGCTGCCAAATGAACCTTAGAAAATGAAAAATAAATTCTCTATAATCATTGGGGCTTTGAAACTCTCTTATATTCACATATTCCATGAAACTTCCCTTTATGAAGGAGCTCTTATTAGGCTTGCACCACTATCTTCATTTCAATATTGTCACTGCATACGATTTATCATATCAACATTATTGTTCCATAAATAAAGGGCTAACAAAAGAATAGATAATTGGCTGTCATATTCTTTTTAAAGCATTCTCATAATCATTCCTTAAAAGCTAATTAAAACTAATTAAACTCTTGCAAAATTTTTAATCAACTATTGATTGATAATTTTTCATTTTCATTGAAATTTCTACTTATATATTTCATGCTTAATTCTGGGATTCTATGAGGAGAACAGTACTGAAGAACTCAAGTTTCAGGTGGAGCTTTAGGTGAAATGATTTGACCATGCATGTACAAGTTTCAGATACATTTATTCAACTTTAGTTTTTTTTAGATTTCTTTTTTTTTTTTTTTGGGGGGGGGGGGGGGGGATTGATCTTTGCTCCTTACATATATGTTCTTACATGGATGAGATGTAATCAGACTTACCAAAAATTATATATATATGTTATCCCTTCTCTCTATATATTCTAAATCCAAATACGTTGAAAGTTAAGGAGGTGGAGAAGTAGTAGTAGAAGAAGAAAAGAGCATAGCAAAGCAAAGAACATATTTAAAGAAAAAGAAATTCCATTATTCTTAAGTACTTCACCAACCAAATCCACAAAATAATAATAATAAAAAAATTGTGATCGAGTTTGATGCTTTACTTTAGGTCACTAACTACAGCTGATGCTGGCGTTTGCCCTTACGTGCCTCTCACAATCCCTTCTTAGTTCTCATTTCCCAATAATTCCTTACGCCAAGAATCTCTCCCATCCCCAACCATCAACATTCTGATCACCCCTCTACTCTACCAATTATATTCACTTCACGTTCACTCTCTTCTAGGGTTTTCTTTCATTTCCTTTATAAGACTTTGGTGTTGGTCGGTTCATGCTGCCAGGTTGCTTCACTAGCTCCAACATATGCAACCTGCCTTGTTCATTAAAAACAAGAATGTTCCTAATCTGTTTAACAAATTATTACACGAACAATTCTGACTTGTAACCTAGCTGAGGGTTGTTATCTTGAGTTCTGAGGTTCAATTCTTTTTTTGTTTGTAAGACTTAATTTCTCAAAATAATTTACATAAATTACATTCACAATAAAAGGGTTAATTAATTTTGAGTAATTAGATATGTGATTATCCATACATATCCATATTTTGTTTAATATCTATTTTAAATTCAAAATGATATGTATTTATACCTTAAATAATACAAAAGATTTTTTTTAATAAAAGAGATCATATTTTGAAAATAAAAGAAGTGATAGTCTGTATTAAGATTTAAACTCAGACTTTGCTTGATGCAATTTTTTAAAAATAAATATAAACTAATTGAATTAGGTCTAATATAAAAAAAAAATCAATGCATAATGCATGAGTTTTTTTTTTTTTTTTTTCGACTTTGTTTAGTTGCTAAAGTCTTAATTAAGTATTGGTCCATAGTAGACAAAAGGGACATGCCAATGCACACTATATATTGTATTAACACATGTCATGGTCTACACTAAACTCCGAAGGGTATTAAAAAATAATCTCATATAACTGACTTTTTTTTTTTTTTTTTATAGAATGTAATGTAATTTTGCTGCTGTGTTTATTATGGCAAGGCTGTCAGTATTTCCTCATTTCTGTGGCCTTTACCAACTCCTAATGATTGGGGAAAGGATTAGGAAATTCATAAAATTATTGGATCACATTTATAGCCGGCGTGGTTTCGGGGTTAATTGTCCATCCAAGAAGCAACCTACTGTATAATTGACAATTCACAACCTGGGTGGGTCAACTGCACATAAAACTGCTTGATTAAGTGGCTTAACACAATACAATTAGTGCAAACCCTATATAATTAATAATTTTCTTGTTATTGCACTTATTTATTATATAATTAAAATAAATATTTTTTAAAGTTGAAAATAACCATTTGTCATCCTGTAAATCTCATTTGAAATCGAAATGAGAGGTTTTTAATTTTTTTTAGTTGTTTTTTTAAAGACAAAAAGATATTACTAACTGAAAAAACAGTTCCTAAACGTGATAGAAAAAACCTCAATTTGATAAACAATGGAGTTTACCTACTAATCTATATTATATATATATAATCCTGGATTGAGTTGGTGTCATAAATCAAGTGATATCAATTCAATCAGAAAAAAGTATATGAAAACTAAACAATAAAATTATTTTAATAAATATAAAATTAAAAATATTTGCATCTTTTCACTAAATAAAAAGTAATTATCCACTTAAAAATTACATTACTTTTACTTTAAAATTATATCTCTAAATTACAATTAAAAATAATTTTGTCACGCACTTAGTGGGTGTGTGCCAAATTCTAATGTTATGAAAAGGCTTATCCTAATAGGGGTCTAAATTTGCAAATAAAAGTGGCATTAATTAGTATTAGTTAAATTTAGACATTTAGTTAAGGGGAGCTTTGATAGTCCTAACAAGTAACCAAAACAACCATTCAAAAATGTTGGTGGCATGGTTTGTTATACAATATTAAACTCTTAATTTTAATGAATCAGTGATGAAAATTTAATTTTTAATAATTTTAAATATAAAAAAATTGCTAGCTTTGGACAGACTTGTACTTCTAATTAAAGTTTGTATACAGTTAAACAGCTAGCACTGTTAAATGACAAAGCAGATAATTACTAAAAGTATTAAGGAGGACTAACATAAACTCCAAGCAAGAAAAGCAAATAAAGGAGAGCAAAAAAAGGGAGGAGTGGAGAGGCGCAAATTCTGTGGTTCCAGGCTTGCAAACCAATCCTCCCAGAAGGAATCGTTGGGAAAAAGTAATGGGTTTGCTTCAAAGCCAACCGAATCTCACTCGTTTCCTCGCCTTCTCATTCTGACATTGCATCTTCTCTTTCCTTTCCCTCTCTCTTCCCTATATATACTTAATGACTTCCAAGGTTGGAAACACAATACTGGCAAAGCAAATTCCAGGGTAACTGTTCCACAGGTTTTCTTCTTTTAACTCTGATCTTACCTTATAGAAACCCTTTCACTGAATTTAACATCTCTTTCTGTATATATTGACACCCACTCTTCTCTCTTGCTTTCATCACCCTATATACAATTATCCATTTGTTTTTTCTCTCCAAGATAGAATTAGAGATGATGATGGAGGGTCGGGAGGAAGTTGTTGTTTGTAAAGATCAGTTGCAAATCATCAAAGGGAAACGTACCAAGCGTCCGAGGCCGTTGTCTCCTCTGACTTTGGCGATGGCTTCAAGCACGACGACTTCTAGTGGAGGAGAAAGTGGAGGTGAAGGTGGAAGAAATAGTAATGATTCCAGGGGGTTTGATCGAGCTGTTGCTTCTCCAACAACATCTGTTGAGTTAGCAGAAAGCACTGAAGAAGAAGAAGACATGGCCAATTGTTTAATACTTTTGGCTCAAGGTCAAACAAGAAAATTAGCATCCGAACCAGCTTCTTTGGCAACAGCAAGCAAGACGGCAGGGATATATGTCCACCAGTGCAAGACATGTAACCGGTGTTTCCCTTCATTCCAGGCGCTTGGTGGACACAGAGCAAGCCACAAGAAACCCAAGATTAATAATGAAGAGAATAATAAAGGGCTGATTTTTGTGAAAGAGGATGATCATGATCAGTTCAATAACATGAACACAAGCTTTTCGCTTCAAATAACGAATAAGGCTGCTGTTTTGGGCAATAGCAACAAATCCAAAGTTCACGAGTGTTCGATATGTGGTGCTGAGTTCTCTTCCGGACAAGCTCTTGGAGGTCATATGAGGAGGCACAGGACATTTACTAATGCTGCAACAACAACAGCTACAACAACTTTGAGTGTTGGAACAAGAATTAGCAGTCCTGAACCAGAAGAGTCCAAGAAATCAAGAACCGTTCTGCAATTGGATCTTAATCTTCCAGCCCCGGAAGATGATCATCATAGGGAGCCTAAACTTTCATTTGCTTCAAAGGAAAAGCTACTGGTCTTCTCGGCATCTTCTTTGGTTGATTGCCATTACTAGAAACACAAGTCCATCATAATTTTTTGGGGGAGTATCTATCACCCAAAATTCAATGTGTATTATTAACATTAATTATTTTCTCACTAATATCACTCATAATTGTTCATTCTTTGAATTCTTTTAAATTTAGCCTTGTTCCGTGTTAGTGAAGTTGAAAATTCCTTTGGCAAAGTATGTTAACTTTTGTTTTTTCTTGGTAGCATTTGATCCGTATGGAGATAGTTTGCATTTTCTTTCCTTTTTTTTTTTTTTTGTTTGGTCTAAGACCTGTTTTATTCCTTTATGAGTTGGAGAAGCATGTGATGAAATAGAGATAGAGAGAGAGAGAGAGAGAGAGAGAGAGAGAGAGAGAGAAAGGGATTAATAAAGAGAAGAGTAATCAGAAGAGCAAAGGAGAAGGAAAGAGGGGTTGGCATGAGTTTGACACCACCAATTCCACAACCGAAAGTGGTGGATTAGGTTCTTTTGTTTAGTTTGCAAGAAAGCTAAAGCTCCGTCTCTGTCTACCTGTTTCATTAATATGGCAAAAAAATTAAATGGAAGGCAACCGAGCAAGATTGCTAACTTCCCTCCTTTTATGGATCCACCTATGCATTTATGTAAAGTACACTACATACACTCTCACAGTCAGCTTTAAAACCATTGCTAATCTACTGAACCCCATGTGAACAAAACAAATTGGCCACTTATGTAGCTAATTCATTTTTGACAGCTCCATGATTTGTTATGGTAGAGTATTGAACTTTTAATTTCTATAGTTAAAGTTTAAGTTTTAATAACTTCGAGTACAAAAAAATGTTGTTAATTCATTAAAAACAGCTTGATTTAGTAGCTAAACTTTTAATTAAGAATTTCATCCTCAAAGGTAAATTGTCTGTAACAGATCTATGCCTAAACTGAGTAGTAACTGGCCTGCTGTTGTCAGCAATGTTGAGTTAAGCTTACTCTAGGCTAGCAATGACGCAAAATTAGATGGTTGAAAATTAAACCCCAAAAGCCTACAAAATGAAAGGCAGCATGATTGCATTCTATAGCTTGAGGACTGGATGGCAGGTTTTCACTGCAAAGAGTGCCTTTATCTCTCAAGCCCATATTTATACTTATCTTCAAGTGAATATATGAACGTGCGTGTTATCATCAATAAGGATATAAGGATTCCACTTCATGGTAAGATCAAAAGAGGACAACGAACTCTTACAATATATACCTAGTTTTTCCTTTTTGTCTTGTTCCACTTTCCATGCAAATAGCAACCCCTCTTGAGAAAGAAAGAGAGAAGTAAACAATGAATTAAAGTGGTTATTTAAATTTTTGTAGAGCTTGTTAAATGGGGCTAATGGGCACATTTGATGAGTACTGAGAAGCCACGCCGACTTTGATTGAAGACATCCAAATCCATGAGAGAGAGAGTTAACAGAGAGAAGTAAGGGATCATTTCATTTGACATTGGCATATGTATAGTGGTCTCAACACTCACGTTATCTAAAAAAAAAATAGCCCAATCCCAATCCTAAAGTCTTTAATATTCATAGCTCTACAAATTAGATTGTATTTAACGTTTTTGTTGGTTGTTGAGGGCAAAAAGCCTTTTTTCTTCATGCTAGCCAGTGGCCACTCAATTAATAAGAGGAGCATATAGAAAGTGTGGGTTTGTAGTGGACATCAGTTTCTGCAGATGTGATAGGCTTGCAAAGTTCAATCATCCTGGTATATTATGCCTGGTTGAATATACATAAGAATTTTCCAACTAAAACAAGTAGTCTTGGGGTGGAAAAAAAGGCCTGAATCTACTGCCACTGTCCCACCAAGTTGCACCCTGGAGCAGGCACTAGCAGTGGCAATGTCAATATAGTTAGGAAATTTTAGGAATCTATATATATGGTTGAAGTGCAAAGGATCAGGAATTCAGGATTCTGGACAAAATACTAATATATATGCTTCTTTTCTGACCATTTCTTTTTGTCCAAACATGCCACCATCAAGTTCAATGGGCATGACCAGTGTGGGGCAGAGACAAATCCCAGTTATACTAGTTCCTACTTTTCCCCTTTTTCAGGATTAATGAAAAAATAAATTTGTTTGCAGATACTGATGCATACTTTCCTTGTGATATTCTTTGATGTTTTCTCTTTTGAATTGGTATATATAGATGAGAGTCTGCATAATTCATAGTAATTAATATGTTAATAATTTTAGAAAAAAAAAGGTTCTTTTTTGGTTAGAGAAAAATATTAAAATGAGAATTAGCTCTTTTTTTAAAAAAAAAAAAAAAATTGGGTTCAATTTCACTCGTTATAATTACATGGGAATAAGAGTTTATAATTTTAATTTCATCATGTAAATAAAATTAAAAGATATTTTTAATTCTTTAATAAAATTCGAGAGTTGATTTGAGTATAAATAGAAACTTAAATTTGTTTCTTAGTTTCAAAAAAAAAAAATTTGTTTCTTTCCTTTTTATGAAACTCAAAAGATGAAAGAACTATATTTGACAATGGTATAATTATATCACATAATTAGAGATGTTAATCTTATTCGAGGAATTTAATTTTTTATTTAAACAAAGAAAAAGATAAGTATTATATTATGGGTATGAGGATGATGATAAGTATGATTCTTAATTTTTATTAGATACGAAGATGAAAATAGGGATGGATAATATAATATTGGTCACATATCTGTCCCTATATATATATATATTTATATATATATATATTTAATAAATAGATTTTTATTAAATAATATAAATTATTATTTTAAATTAATTAAAATTAATATTTTTATTGAAAAAATACATATTAATATATATATTTATAAAAAATTATCTAAATATACAAAACAAAAAAAAACTAAAAAAATAAATTTTAGTTTTTAATTTTTTTTTTAAACTATGGTTATAAAAATTATCCAAAACTATTAAATATCCATGAGAATGAAGATAGAGATAAATTAAAATATTCGTTGATATAATATAAAAATTTAAGAATGAAGATAAAAAATGCTCAACCTTATCTATTAACATCTCTACACATAATTGGATATTTATTTTGAAAGGTTATCAATAATATCCTAAAACAAAATCCTTATTTCTCTTTTAAAGCAAATACTACTACTAGTTTTATGTTATTCATAAAAATTGTTACTGAATGGCTATAAAAAAAAATTATTCCAAAAGTGTAATTAAGTAGAGACTTAGTGTTAGATTTAAATTCAACTCAATTCAAAATTTAATATTTAAAACTCATTCAAATTCGACTGAATTTATATTTTTATATTCAAATTCGACTTATAATATATTTAAGTAATTGGAATACAATTTGATTAAAATCATAACATTGTGAATTAGATATTAAATATATTGGCTTTATTTTTTAGCATACATCTCCTAATTTTTTTTATTGCCTAGGTAAAAAAAAATTCTATCTTTTTAACCAAAAAATCTTTTCTCCCAAGTAAGTTAATTTATGTAATAACAAATAGGTTAACTTTTTATAAAAAAATAAAAATCTATTAAAATACTTAAAAGAAATATTTTATTAGCTATTTGAGTAATAAAATTTTTAATATATTCAACCATTTAATATATTCATTATAAAATTAATTAAAATTTTAATGATAATTTTTATTAAAATATTAAATAAATGTTGTTAAATAATTTATTAACTCAAACTCAAGAATAAAACTAAAAAATAATGAATAATTTATTAATATAAACTAAATATTTATTTCATTTATTATTCAATATACAAAATAAAATTTTTCTTACATAATACATAAATCATATTCAGATTTTCAAAACTCAAAATTAAAATATTTTTAATTTATATAAATATTTATAACAAATTAATAATAATATACAAATAATTTGACGCACGGGACTAAAGCTTATAGTAGGTTGGGTTAATTTCCGTACAAACTAAAACAAGAGAAACACATAACGGGAAATCGAAGAAAGAAAAGAAAACAATGGCGGTTCCAGGGAGGCGCAATGGATTGCTTGAAGAAGACGAACACGACGATGACAACGCTCTCTTCCAAGAAAACGATCTCGCGATGGACCTTGAAGCCGACACCCCTCCTCACCTTCGCGACCTGGCCGCAGCCGCCCAGTTCGGCGACCTCAACGCTCTTCGCCTCGCCCTAGGTTTCCCTTCCCCGTTTTACTTTTACAATTTTACTCTTCTATTCTCCTTCTCTTTGTTCTAGCTTCATCCATTAAAATTTGTTGTTAGCTAATTGCTTTCCATAAAACCCTTTCGGGTTTTATCCTTTTAACCTTTTTGTGAAACTTAAAAATATTTTTTTTGGGGCGGGGGCGGGGGTGTTAGGTTTGTTTTAATCTGACTTGATTTTTTTTTCCTTTTTTATGGGTTTTTTTTTAATGAACTTTTAGGATAACCCATTTATATAATTCTCATTCCTATTTGATTTCTTAAGTATGTAGTGAGGGTCGGTTGATGCTGGTGTGATAATAGTTATTACTTATGAATCAAAATTGGGACATTTTTGGTAGTCTTTGTCAAGAGGAATTCAAAGAAAATGATGGAAGTATTTATAGGAAATAGATGAAAGTAAAGGAGCATATTTGATGTTAATTCAAGTTTGTGAATGTTATATGGAAGTTGGTGGTTAGTATATTCGTAGTGACTTATATACGAAAGGTTTGCATATATGATTGATAGCTTATAATACATATGTTAAAAGTGGAAGGAGCTGAAGTTGAGACAATTCCTGAGCATGCCTAATGCTTATTTAAATGTCCTCCTGGATCACATGGTGAATTGTTGTTTCATTTTTTATTATTTTTTTCCCATTGTTTCTGTCAAAGATGGCAATGTAACCTAACAAGTAGGTCTCGCTTGAGATGGAAGGATTTATACACTTTGGTCGTTACTGAACGTGTTCTCAGAATGGAACACCTGATATCCTGTTTCTTTCATCATTATAGTTGTTCTCACTTGGACATTAAAATGTCCTTGTCTGTTGTATCTCCTACTGAAGCCTTTTATTTTTCACTTGATTGTATTGTATAGACAACTTGAATGGCGCCATCGATGAACCTGTAGAAGATGGTGACACAGCTCTCCATCTTACCTGCCTTTATGGTTATCTGCCTTGTGTCCAGGTCAGCTATCTGATATTGTTGTTTTCTCCACTTATTTTGATGTGTTTTGTTCTAGCCCTAAAATCTTATGATTGATGATTTAATCCCTTTCAGCTACTTCTGGAAAGAGGGGCTAATTTGGAGGCCAAGGATGAAGATGGGGCAGTTCCTTTGCATGATGCCTGTGCTGGGGGTAGGCTGTATGCTCGTGTAGAATCTTCCATCTCTAATTAGGTGCTGACTTTTTATTTCTTTCTTTTCCAATGACGTTTTCAGGATTTACTGAGATAGTACAACTTCTACTTGACAGAGCCACCAACAGTGGATGTCTGAAAAGGATGCTAGATTCAGTTGATACGGAAGGTGATACTGTGAGTTACAAATGCTATATGGCACTTGCACCATCTTGAATTCTAATGTCTGTATTTTTCATTTCATTGCTAGAAATTGATTAAGATCTGAAGCCAACTGATTCCATTTGAATAGATTTTGTTTTGCTTGGGTCATTCAATTGCACATTGGTCAAAGATTTTATCTAAGTAAATAAAAATGGGAATTGTTTCGGTACTCTTCTCCAACTAGCTTGAAGCTGATGGTCTTTGTGACCTGGAATGCTTAGAACGACCAACTAGCATGAAATGCCTGCTTACTGCTTAGTTTTTTACTGTCCCTCCGTTTCTCTCTCCATTGTTTGCACTTGTATGAACCCTTAATATGTTTTACATACTACTTAGTCTTGTTTATGACTACTGTATGGTCCTTTTTTGTCAGCCTCTTCATCATGCAGCACGAGGTGAGCATGTGGAGGTGATAAGATTGTTGCTGACTAATGGGGCTTCTCCCACAAAGACAAACACATATGGAAAGGTTAGTCATTACAAAGGTTTTCTAGCTCATATGTTCCCTTCCACAATGTGTTTCTAACTCGAAATTGTGCAGATACCATGTGAGCTAGCTGACCCTGAAACGGATGCGTGGAGAGTTCTTGAAGCTGCTGCTAGTGCTCAGACCTCCCAGTAAAGCTACACATGATGATTCTTGAAAATTGCTTAGCCAGTGTTAGAGGAGCAGAGTTGACTGGTGGCTACTTTTTTGCTGCCACTCTACCATGGACAGTTGAGGGCAAACATTTTTGAGGCTAGGATGAAATATTTGTTTCTCATTAAATTTAATACTAGTATCTTAGGAGAAAACAGAGCTTGTAAGTTTTAGCTTTTAAGTGCTACCCTGTTGTTTTTGCATAGGAACAAATAACATTCCGAGTCAGATTTTGTCATGCATTATCTTTTTAATGATTCGGATGATATAGTAATATTGTTTTGTATTGGCCAAGAGAAAAAAATTAGTATTTTTCAACTTGCCAGACATCTCAAAGCGGACAACCTGTTTTTTCACCGTCTAATTTTTATAGCTGATGTGATCAACCTTTCCCGAAGACACATCCCTCGGTTCTTTCATCGTCCAATGAGATCCTCGGCTTGTTCCCTTTCCACTTTAACCAACTTCTCTTTCTTTATACCTTGTTGGTGCAATAATTATCCGAGGCCAAGTCATCCAATTATTTGCCAACTCTAAAGAATCAGACTAGAGAAAAACCCAATAGCTTTTTGACTAGTTCAACTTTTGTTCCAATCATAGCTTGCTATGTCTAGTTGTGATACTTGCATAATAATGCCAACTGTACCTATTTACTATCTCCTTCATTTGCTTGTCATAATTATGTTATTGCACATAAATTACCATAATGCAGTGTCAGCGTTCACCGAAAGATTAACGAATTAACCGACTGCTGATCACAAAAAACCAGGCCATATCCCAGTGGTCAGCGGCAGATTCCTCCTACCAAGCATTAACAAAGGAACAACCTTTAAATTCTTGTCTTCTCTCATTCCTATTAAAAGAGAGGCCTGGAAGTGGCGGCTACGCTGGTTATAGAGCTCGGGCTGATTATGATCATCTTATCAAGCTTCTTCTTATCCCCCGAGTGTGGGAAATGTTGTTTGATACTTCGATTCTCAGATGATTTTTTTACATTGTTACCACAATATGAGCGTGTCTTTGAACAACTGTAATATTGTCATGTTATGATACTAGTTATTGAATCTCTCTTCGTAGTATCCCATAAAGTTAATGTTTCTACCCTGATTGATCTGCGAATGTGGGACACCGCTAGCCAAGAACGTTTCAGCACAATTAGAACAGGTGTGAAAAATGTTTATATTTGATGTAGTTTGTTGTCGTGTTTTACCTTGTCTCTACCATTTGTTTGAGTAACTTTGATTCCAAAAAACAAAAATGATTGTCTTTTATCTTTCATCAAAATAATATTTGGCTAGTTGACAGATTACCTAAATGACTGAGTAATAACTTGTTAATATGGTTCTGGTTAGATAATGAGATAGATGGAGACTTGAGTTTTACTGCTTGAGACAGGTCTAGTAATATTTTTGCCATCCAGAACAATAATTATAAACTCAATTAATCAATGAAAGACATTCAATCTGGTTTTCTACCATGGGTAACAAACTAAAAATTAACGAAGATAAAAGCAAAAAAAAAGGCAAAAAAATTTACACAAGTTAATTTGAGTGATGATGATACAATTAACTACAGCAACTCAATTGGAAAGAGCAGCAGTATAGAATATCCAAAGAAATTATCATATACATGATTTGTTCACAATCTGTTAAGGTGGAAGCTTAGAGCCACCAACATGGATGCATGTGCTTTTCTATTGATATATAAGTCATCCCTTCATGTTGAGGACTCCATATTGCTGCAATTTAAGAGCAACAACCACTGCCAGGAGGCGCCTGGTGCTCTGGTTTCTGCTTTAAGATGTTTCTCTTCCCTACAGCAGACCCTTCTTCCAAAAGACTAGGAACTTCCATTATCTGTAAGAGAATCCACAGCTTGTCAGAACTGAGAGAAGAATTACGCCATTAGCGTTCTTTGCTCATGATACCAGCCTTTATCATATGTAATACAGCAATAGTAGAAAAGATATGGATGAATTTACACAGCAATCAATTCATCCAAATCTATTGTGGTACACTCATCTATTCCTAGATTATGTAGTCACTTATTGCGACCATCATGATTCATGAAGAATCATAAGTGTCTGTTTAAAAGTTTGGAAACAACCATTCTTAATGATTGATGTATATATAACCTAATGCCACCGCATGGTTGCAGATCATTTTGGAGTGACCCACCAACAAATAATATCTATTATGTCATATATGTTACTAGAAAGGTAAAAAGCAAAATTACTGTCATAGAAAATTACCTTCAATGCAAGCTCCTCAAAGCATTGCTCCACATTTTCTCTTGTTTTAGCACTGCATTCAAGAAACATACACCCAAGCTTTTTTGCAAGCGCAATCCCTTCGTCTCTACTTACAGCCCTTTCAGAATCCTGAATCGTGAACAAATTGGATATAATAAAGCAATCTGAGTAAAGAGAAAATGACTGAAAAAGAAGCTCTCAAATGAGAAAACAAAAAATACAATATCAACTGACTGGAAATATTATAAAGAAGGTTTAATAAGACAAAGTCAATTATTTATTGATCTTCTAGTTTTCTGACCATTTTCCAGGGATATTCAGAAGTCAGTTGGCTTAACAATTGAATAGGTAGAGGAGTAATTAAGAGGATCTAGAGCCTATTATGATGCAAAGAAAGGAAACAGTTAAGGTAGGCAATGCAACAGTGTGACATGAAGTTTTTAAGTCTGCACGAGCATAGAAAAATAAATTGTGCCTAAAGATGAATCAATAAATTGTATTAAGTTCAGCTTCACTCAAGGTTTAATATGCATGAAACACTTATTTATTATCTTCCAAAATTTGATGGTTACACTGCAATATGGCTTTTTTACTCATGAAATGTTTTATCTACTTTACTCTTGAGAACACACAATATAGGGGAGAACATAAGCAGAGTATTTTATTATTGGCTAAGCTAGGAATTAAGATGACAAGAACGCAAAGTCCTTAGAGCATTTATGGGTGCCATGGCCCTTTTACAACTTATGATTTTTTTTTCTTTACTTTATTCCATGAGCTTCAACATGAAGAGAGCACATGAGCTATGTCCCATAAAATTATGAAATTGCCCATTAACAACTTATTAATCTATCCTTAACCTTTTTAGGGTGAGGTGTGAAGGGTGGGCGGGGTCAGTTTATCTTCAATTATTAATTTCAGTGGAAAGAGAGCACTAGACTTACTCTATCAACTTTATTTCCAACAAGCATCTTGAGACAGTCCTGATTGGTAGAGTAGAGCTCCACTTCTTTGGCCCAAATATCAGACAAATTTGTGAAGGTTTCTCTCCGTGTTACATCATAAACTATAACCAAAGCCAAGATATAAGTCAAACAATTATTGCAATTTAAACCATGGGCAAACAATATCTTAATTCAACACCCTGAGCAGAATTGACAAGACTCATTATTGATAATTTATTTGGGACAACAATATTACTTTTAGGATCCAGTAACCATCATTGTGAAATGATGAGCCAAGGCACAAGTGGCAAATGCTTGCGCCATAAATAAAAACAAAATGGAACCGTGGGATGATAGAGCTCTTTCAGGCCAACAAAGCAGATGTTCACAGAAAGGACTGAAAAAGGTATTGGGAATAGAATACATTATGGAATATAGGATACAAGGAAATGACTTTATTTCATTTGTGTATATGAGAGAGGAAAGAGACCAAATATTTCCAAACTGCTTTCTATATGCTGTCCATCTTTCTAAAATTAAACTAAGATTGTGTTAAATTTTCAGCACCTATAATCAAACTCCTGCTTAGCCAGTGCAGGAGGAAAACCTTGATCAATATTTTAACATTATGCATATCAATATTCATGGGTGTGTCCGCTATAGTGACATAAGAGCTTGTTTCTAATCTTGTTATGAGACGCATTAATGCTTATGATAACATTGTGCAGTGGTATCAGATTCCTGGTATTTTGCAACTTAAAACCAGTGATAGGCTCCATCAAACAAAATCAAGAAAGTAGAGTAACTTGTACATGCACCAGAAAGATGAACTTACCAAGAATTATTCCTTGGGCACCTCTATAGTAAGAGCTTGTTAATGTTCTGAACCTTTCCTGTCCAGCTACATGAAGCATTATGGTTTCAAAATCATTCATGATTTCTCCATGTTGCAAGTCAATTATTTTAATTTTTTTTATGAACAAAATAGTGAATACCTAATAAAAGATTAAAGAAGCAATATCAAGCTAACCAGGTCGAGAAAGCATTTTCTTCTCATATTCATAAAGTAGCAACATACCACTAACAACAAAATTTAAACCCAGAAACTCATTTCAACTGATTAATATATCATCAATTATATCGGCCTTTTAACTGCACTGATTTACCTAGAGTTCCTGAAAATCTCATTTCAAAGTTGATGCTGCAGAGTGCAGAATTGGTTCCACAAAAAAAAAAAAAAAGGAGATCAAAACACATTAACAAAAACATATTCATATAAATTATGTAGAATGGTTTTATAAGAAAATTTTGACAAAATTTGCGGTGGTAACAGTTTAATGGATAGAGTTAAATAAAAGGTCAACATCCAAGCAGCCAGCAGTAGAATAGTTGAAATAAAGCCCGGATGAGGATGTCAATGCCATACTGATGTATTAGTGAACATTAAGTCAGTAAATATAAGCTCTTTCCTATGTAAAATAAAGAAGTCAATTGTAAGCATAAACAATTGACTTCAATTAGACTAACAGATTTAGACAATAAATCCAAATTTGAAACTGAAAGACTAATAAGAAAGAATAAAACGATATGAGTATGAGTTTCATATTTACCAGTATCCCAAATAGTAAGCTTTAATCTCTTCCCACCAACTGTTAACAACTTGATCTTAAAATCCACACCTACAACAAAGATTCAAACAAAACCCAAATCAAAATTTACCATAGAAAAATTGATCAAAGATCCAGGACTGAAAAAACAAGTTAAGAAAAAAGAAAAAGAAAATGAACCAATGGTGGGAGCTAGAGCTTCTGCAGAAGCTGAAATGAAGCTAACAAGCAAACTACTCTTGCCGACACCTGAGTCTCCGATCAACAAGATCTTGAATGAAAGATCATAGCTTCCACTACTTTGCCCTGAAGATGATCCCATTTCAATTTTTTTCTATCCAAAGGCAAAAACTCAAACTTTTAAAACAAAATCTCTCCTTTCTTCTCTTCTTTTCAAAGTCTCTGTTGTATCCAATGATAAAAATAAAAACTTGGGTGAGAAAATGAATGGCCTCTTTCCCTCTCAAGTACAGTGAAACAGAAATGAAATATATAAAGGAGAATAAAAAAAGGAAGGAAATTTTTTTAAAGAGAAAAATGAGAGAAAGAGAAAGAGAGAATCAATGCGTTCTTTGAGAGAGAAGCTAAAGGAAAACGGCTAACTGGGGAACACTTGACACCAACGTATTCTTGCCTTTGTTTTTTTTGTCTTTCTGTCTCATTGATACGGTGTCGTGTTTGACAGATATTGGAATAGCACCGATGTGGCACGCGGGAATAGTGGAGCGTGTTTTTCACGCTCCAACCGTCAGGTGGAAGGCTGCTTTCAGGGAGAGATTAGGAACTGTCTGGATCAAAGCCTTAATAATGAAGTAAACAACAAGGATTTTTATTAAGCTTTTCTGCTTTTGGCTAATCATTATCTTGGAAATTTAATTTTCAAATTTCCCTTCAAACTCTATTGTCAATAATTATCCATATAGAATTAAATTTTAATTTCAGTAATCAAAATTTAAATTTTAATAATCTCAAATAAAAAATTTTTTAGAAGAATTCATTATAAAAAAAATAAGGAAATTTCTTTCTATTTTATGGAAAAAAATAGAGGAAAAATAAATTTTTAATTTTTATGAAATTCAACAAACATTATTATTGCATTGGCCCTAAAGGAGTTACATTTCAAATTTAAATTTTGATGATAATTTCATAGCTTAAAATCTTTTGTCTAGGTATTTCCATAACCTATGGACATGCATGATGATAATCATCATAAACAGCTAGCATATATATAATTAGATTTTTGAAATTAAATATATTTTTTAATTTTTAATATAACTTTAATCTTATAACTCATATCTATTTAATTTAGTTGAGAATGATATATTATCTGTTTAAATTTTCTTGAATCTATAATATCTAAAAATCTGACCAATGTATATATATAATATGAATTAGTACTTTGTTTGCTTTAATTATCTTTTTCTTGATTATACTAAAAAATTGAGAATATATATATATATATTCACCGAAATCTTGCTAATGATAAAATTAGGAGATTCTCCATTGCCACCCACACTTTTATTTGGTGATGAGGTTCCAAGCTAGAGTATACAAGGAATATTGGAATGAGGCTAAGTTTGCTTGGTCCAAGGTTCCAAGCAATATATATATATATATATATATATATTCAGGAAGGATTGTATACTAAAAATAAGGGAAAGGGAATGAGCAAGAACCAAAGAGATTAGGCAATAGAAATTAATTCAAGCAAAAGAAGTACTTTGACCGATTTATGTTGAGTTTGTTGAGAGTCCCTTTCTTTAGAATCCAAGAAAGCGCCTTATTATACCCAGTACTGATAGCAACGGTGATGATCACCATCACAAAATTAATTAAGACAAAATTTTAGACAAAACCTAACGTAATCAAAGTTAGGAATAACATATGTGGATGGCTAACAAGCTAACCTTGAACTTTAAATTCTAAACGTCTAAGTATGAAATAAAATTAGTTTAGTAGGTTAGCTTTGTAATCATTTAGTTTTTCTTTAGAGGTGAGTTTTTGTAGGTATATATTGAGGTTCAACTTTTTAGTTCGTTATATTTTCATAAGAGGAAAATGACATGTTTCATGCATCATATAAAAATATAAAAAATATACTCTTAAAATCACTTCGAAAAAAAATTAAATTCAGGTTAAATTTACGAATATAGATTATAGATATAAACTTTGTATAACAGAAAGTTTGAGGTGCATTGACAATAAACAAGAGTAATAGAATTAGTTTATGATGAAGTAGGAGGATCAATTTTGGATGGACATAGGGAATGAGTCATGAGAATATATAATAATACTGGAGTTGAGAGACATAGAGTGGCCTGCATGTTTAGGCAGGGCACAGCAGTGAGGGATCGCTTTATTGGATGTGATCATATATATATATATATATATATATTGGTAATCAAGCAATTGCCATTTTCAAAACTGTAAAGCGAGGAACAAGCGTGACCATTGTTCATTACAATATAGTACTACTAGGGTAGAATACTAAAATTGGGATAAATTAAGCAAAAGGGCATCTGGCTTTATATTTATGTCTCTTGTTGTGATTAGGAAAATAGCAACATCAGACTACCTAATATTCATGGTCCTGCTGTCCATAGGCAATCAAAATTTTAAGCATTTGTCCAAATTGTTAGTGTTAGGAGCTAGTACATAATTTTCCTTGACTTAATGAAGCATAGCCTTTTCTTAGGGTCGAGGGTGGCTTGGGAAAAAAAAAAGGCTAGTGCCTTAGAAGCTTAGGAATTTGGGACCATTCACCTATTCAAGATTCATGAAAGGTTCAAACAAAAAAAAGATTCACCAAAAAATTCATACCTAGGCAAACCAAGTTCAAACCAAAAATTCACCAAAAATCTAATTTTTGTGGCACAAAGATTAGGCAGATCAAGGACAATTGACCTGGCCCTAGCAGCCTTAGTTAAAGCCATGCAGATTCAGCTTTCCTGGGCCGAGAAACCATTTTGTTCAACCCAATCATATTATGGGCTTAGCTTGAATTTCCAAACACAGAGCCCAACCACTTAAAATGGGGATTTGTCGCCGCCGATACCACCCGCAACCTGGCAACGCCAAGTGGCCAATTAGATCAACAGTTCAGTGTGAAAGCTACGAAAACCCCAATTTGAAACCCTAACCAGAAAGAAGAGAAAGCCAAAAGAAGAATCAAAGAATCATGGACAGAGACTGAGGTTCCAAACCCGGCTCCGGAGGCGCCGCCTCCGCCCAGACGGAAGCCATGGACCGCCGTGAGCGACTCCGTCGTCTCCCCCTTGAAACCATCGACCTCGCCAAAGATCCCTAGTTCATGCGCAACGACCTCGGAAGGTATCAAATTATCTACGAAATTCCTCTTTTTTTCTCGTTAAAAGTTGTGTTTTTTCTTTTAGATTAAAAATGCCTTATATTTTTGGGCAGTTATGAGTGTAAGCTTTGCTTGACGCTACACAACAATGAAGGGAACTACTTGGCACATACGCAAGGAAAACGGCACCAGACCAATTTAGCTAAGAGGGCGGCGCGTGACGCCAAGGAGGCTCCGGCTCAGCCCCAACCTCACAGGCGTAAAGTATCTGTTCGTAAAACAGGCATGTCCCTTTCATCATCCCCTTGTTCTTTTTTCAATTTTTGTTTTTGTTGGTTTTAGTACCTTGTTTGTATGAATTTAGTGTCTCGGGACTTGAAACTTATGAGTTAAGAATTTAATGACATGCATATTAGTAGTAGTTTTAGGGGTTGATTTTGTGGGCTAAGATGAGTTGAAATTATGCAGAAAACAAATGAATCGGTTCTGTTATGGCACGAAATGGGTTTCTAGAAAGAAATCTTATTAGTAAATATGGAAAAGAGTGAGAGAATGATTGAAGAAATTTAATCTTAAAGTATGTTCTGAGTCACCTAACAATTACATTTGCAGGTTTTGAACCAGTTCATATTTGTACTTAGATGCATGCCTTACCTTTTGCTCGGAATGTGCAAGAATTGCAGTTTGCATATCTTTGCGTGCCTTACCTTTTGCTCATTTCATTTGTTATTTTTTGTGTAGTCAAAATTGGTAGACCAGGGTATCGTGTGACAAAGCAGTATGATCCAGAGACTAAGCAGAGGTCTCTTCTCTTCCAGGTGCATAATATGTGCAACAGCTATGGAATTGTATCATACAATTTTTTTTAATCCTTATATTAATTTGTGGAAAATGATTGTTTGGTGTTGCATGCAGATTGAATATCCTGAAATAGAAGACAATTCAAAGCCAAGGCACCATGTTATGTCAATCTTATGAGCAGGTTTGACTCTATATTTCTATTTTCTTTTCGAGTTCATAGTCTTTTCATGGTTTCAGTGAGTCATGGTTGCTTACCCTAATTCCTTCTTTTTTATATAATTGCACTTAAAGTTGTTCACATTTTCATGCTACTCCGCTTATTTTATTTATTTATTTTTGGTCTGTTTACAAGCAATAAAATCCAAACTTCACATTTTCGCAACACTTGAGCTCTTCTCAGAAGCAAAATCTATCTTCTTTGTTTACTGTTCATGGATACAGAGAGTGCAACCTTTTGATAGGAGATATTAGTATCTCCTGTTTGTTGCAGAACCCTATGAGATCATAGCTTTCAAGGTAAGTCAATGGTACTACTTCTCAGTTAAATTATGTTTAGAATATGTGCTTATATATTTAATTCACCTTTTCAGGTTCCTAGCACAAAGATTGACAAATCCACTCCCAAGTTCTTCTCACATTGGGATCCTGACTCAAAAATGTTCACGGTTGGTTTATTTAGCATGAGCTTTGCTGCTTAATATGTTTTATCTCTACTACCTGTTGACCACGTTTACGATTGATCGGGACTGTCACTATAAGCCGAATTGGTTGGCTAATCTTTCTCTTTGGCAGGGTTATTAGTTGCTAGTTCAGTATAAAGTGCTAATAGTTTGTCAAAATTTGTGTAGATAATATCGTACCTTTTTTGTCATTTATCAACATGCAGTTGCAGGTATATTTCAAAGCCAAGCCACTAGAGGCAAACAAACCTCGACCTCCCCCTGCAGCCAATGGCACTACAGTGCCAGCTGCTCTATCAAGGCCTTTGCCCCCACCACCTCCACCACCGCCATCTCCCATGGGAAATGGTCCTAGGCCTATGCCTCCTAGTGGAGCTCCTATAGCTCCACCACCCCCTCCTGGGGGTTGTGCGACAATGGCAAATTTTACTCCTAGACCTCCAACATTCCCTCCACAAGGTTTTCCTGGTCAATAGATGCAGGGCCAGGTCATACATCCGCCCCTTCCACCACCTAACATGGGACAGTTGGCCACCTGCCTTTCAGTATCTCGATGGCCATATCTCTATCAAGATGTGTGCCAATTGTCATATTTTTTAATCATTTTTGGGTAAGATACGTTGGTCAAACTGACAATTGTTTTTATGTTTTCTTGTTTTCTTTTTTTTTTTTTACTACTTGAGCAATAACACTCATTCTCCTCTGGATGTATGTATGTATGTATTTTCTAGTTCATGCCACTTAGTACTTTAGTCAAAGGTTTCTGAGTTCAATTGAGTCTTGCTCTCGTATGCCTTGCAAGTTACAGCCAGGAGCAAGTTAGAAAGTTGATTAACGCCGTCAAAACCCGTTTGATTTTCTTTTTTTAAACTCTGCTTGTTCACTATAACTTAAAATGCATGCATACCGGGAAAAAAATATGGGTGAAACTAATGCATGAATCAGAGACAAGGTGCAAAGAATAGAACAAGCATCGAACGTGTGCTCCAATAGTGTCATAAAACAGAATAAAACAATGGCAGGGAACTATACCTCACTAAAAACATCATGGTTAAATATCGGCTCCTAAGAGCAGATCTTTACAAATATTTTACATCACCTGTTGAGATGTCCATCTTGAATAGGTATTGCAGCATTGCCACACATGGTATTGGAATGGTCCTAATTCCTAAGCACCCAATTTCTGAAAACATTTGCCCAGCTTAAGGAAACTCACAATAGGACAATATGGACCCAAAATTATGTCAACTTTAAATGGAATTGGAGGGAAATACCTTCTGAATGAATTCCAAGAACCGTTGCGAGTAAAATGTAGGGTCCACAGCAGATATGGATATAGAATCAAACTGAAGAGATTTATAGGCATGTTCAATCTTCTTCGTCATGTTATAATCTTGCAAAATGTCAATGATACCCAGATACAGAACAACATCATATGCTTCATGGAACATGTTCTCTTCTTTCCCTGGAATCTGCTCAGCCCTTGCTGGCATGTTCACACCGAGCTGGATTTGGAGTCTATTCAAGAAGTGATAAAAAATTAAAAATTATCCTTCAAAAGATGAGAGATAGAAGATAAAGAATCAAAATTCACACGCTGCAAGAGAACCCCAATATATAGCCAATTTGTGCATATGTACTCACTTTCATCCCTTTTTCTCTTAGTTTAGGCTTCAGAAATAACGGCTATTTATAAAAGGCAGAGCAACAAAAAACCTTTTTATAACTATAGTAACATACAACAAGTTTTATTTTCAGCTTCCCAAACTTTTTAGAGGTGACTACATATTTGTATTATCTCACTACTGTCCCTTCTGGCAGGGTTTATAACTAAGGCAACAATCAAGAAATTTATGCACGGCCATCTGACATTGCAAGAACGGAAAACACTATCATGACATGTTGAGCAATCATACCTTGCTGTACCAGGGAGAAGGAGATCTACTTCCTCATCACCTGCAGCTGATGCTCGCAAACGTCTACCTCGTATATGAGGACCCACAACAACACTATTGTCATCTGTTCCCCGAGGGACCAATACAAGACCTTGTGGGTAGTTGGAGATTTCATCCTCCTCTGAAATACAAACACCAAGAGATTTAACATTAGTCCACTGTCCTTTAGGATGATGCAAAAGTAGGCATGCAAGAAGTTGGATCAGAATCAGATAATTACTGCATACATCAGATTATTCGGGTGTAGGCTATGTGCCATGCATGACATATATGGTTCTTGTTAGAATTAAGGCTTTAGAGAACAACTTGCTATTCATTTGGATTAGCCTTTCATTATATAGACAATATTAAGGAAAGAGAATCAATTACAAATTACACATCAATGCTCCCAATTAATCCATCCTAAAATGTCTCCCATTGAATATTCCCATAATATTCCAACTCACACACGCATACACTAACAGTTCTATCACTGACTATTAAAGCAAAAACTGTATGGAAGTGATTTGGTATCAAACCCATGTCTTATTTGACATAGTTTGCTGCTTCAAATATATCCTTTGTAGAGTATTTATCTAGCCTCTACATTCTGGGTTCTATCAGAGGTAAACTGATAGTATACCCATTGTCATCATATATTAAATGATTTGGAGAGACTTTGCCTTCTCATCTTTCCGCTTTTTATTTTTAGTGCAACAAATTAACTGAAATACATTGTAACTCTATTTGTCAATATGTAGTAATTATTTTCTCTTTGCACGGATTCAGCTACTCTTAATGCAAATGCTTAAACGCCAGTTAGCTCATAAAATCCTGTTAAATAAAACAGAAAACATAGTATGCTATATCAAACATTTTGAAGAAGCTAGAAGAAATTGCCAATAGAAGATTAAATTTTCATAATGCCCACCTTCCTCTGCAACACTCCCTAGTCCATCTGCTCTGTTGTAGGACATGAGAGACCTCAAATGCTGGGGTGCTCGATAATGCACACCAAGCAAAAGGCTATAATCCATAATGTGTTGTGCTTCCAAAAATTTACTGTCGATCTCTATTTGCCTGCAAAAGTACATATAAATGCAAAAGAATGTTCTTTCAGTAGGATAGAAAAGAAACAATATTGTATCTTAAAAGATGCCCAGTTATGTCTTCTCAGTATCGTAAGGTAAATCAAACCTTGCACTAATACAGAAATCATTGCCAAATGGTTTAAAGGATTAATAGCAAAATTACTCCCACGAAATGAACATTTCATATCACCAAGTGGTAGAACAATAATATGTCGACTTCAAAATGTAAGATAATAGGATGGCATAAAAGCAACAAACTCATCAATTACCTTAATAAAGCATCTCGCCAAGAAGGTTCCAAATAAAAGCAGTAGTTGAGATCCAAATCTTTAAGTGTTGTGTTCTCATCAATTTCTATTTTGTCAGCAGAACGCCCCAGTGATGATCCCTTCAAGTCAAATCTTCTATGAATCCTTAACTCAGTGCAGAACATATTTCCCATGACTACAAAGCGGAACTGCAAAAGGGTATAGTTTTTGGTTGTTAGCTTCTAATCATGAAAAGGCATTCCACAGTCTTGAAGGAACCTTTTATTACATACCATGAAATAAGCAATGGAAAACATAGTCCCTAGTCAAAGTACCTAACAATAATTTTATTCAAGTGGATTCAGTGAAACCAACTTACTAAAGTGCATGGATGAGGTAAAAAGCCCTCTTGCATATGAAAGAACTCTACTATGCTTATTACCTTTTGACCACTTGATGGTTTGATTCTGTGAAGACCAAAGAATTTTGTTATGAGTGTGTTCTCATATGACCTCACGTGATGGTGATAGTTTGGAAGCATTCTTAGAAGAACCTATACACAAAAATTTAGTCAGTAAAACCTGCAATCATCTGAAGAAAACAAGGAAAAGAAGAAAAAGAAACAGACAGAATGACATTGCAAATGCTTTGTGGTATGGTATTGATTTTTAATTAAGGAGTTCAAAAAGTAAACAAATTGCATACTTGACAGATGTCTATTGCAGAACTGACATGCACAATTACAAGTTAAAGCAACCAGCGAGCATTATCATATTTACTCAAGCTAGTTCCCTAGAAAATATAAATAAACAAGGTAAAAGTGGAGATTGCAAACCTTTACTTCAGATTTCCGGAGTGTCTTAATCATGAAACGATCGTCTTGAGACAAAAAGAAGATACTACCACTTTTCCCAGGAGAAGAAAGTTCTCTGAGAGCATCATTTCCACAAATGGAGATCATGTAGTCAGCAGCATCAATCTTGAACATCTCCCTTAAATTCCTATAATAAGTTTTACTTATGTCAACACGGGAAACAAAACATAGTTTCATGCAAGATATATTAGAAAAACAAAATAAAAGAGCAAAGATACATGCTTTTTTTGCTTTTCTGAAAACATATTTATTTAATAGACAATTTCTAAAGAATACTGGTGCATCAGAGAATCTCCACAGATGCAACCAAAAGAATAAAATTGTAAAATCATCACTAGATGCAAAGAAGTACAGCTGTTATATGTTCAGCTTTTAAGAAATGGACTGAAAGTAGCAATAGAATCTTTAAAAAACTCTAAATATCTTGGAAATTGTGGCTATTAATACTTAAAAACACCATGGTGCAGGAAAAACTTAATTTATTCTATTAATAAAAGGGCTGATCCAGTTAGGTATTACTGAGTCAAGTGACACCAACTCAGTTGAGTAAAGTGCAAAAAAAAAAAAAATTAAAGCATGATATCAAATAATAAAATAGGGATAATTTGGTTATTCCAATTTTTTAAAAAAATAATTAAAACAATACCCACTAAAAAAAATTACCCTTAAGCAACTTCTTTTTTCAAAACACTTTTTTTTTCACACAATTTTTTTCTTCCACCCACAATATGGCTGTGCATATTTCTAGTAGTAATAAATTTCTTCAAGAGTTTGCCTGTCCACATAATATGTCTCACCAAAATGTCTAATGACTAGTGAGATCTAAAGGCAAGTTATCTACACCAAAATTAGCATCAGTCTTATGGTCTATCAAAATATTTTCTTTTTAAAAATAAAAGGAAAATTAAAATTTAAAACACCCTTTTTTAGAAGAAATATGCAGCTAGAAAGATTTGATTTCTAAAAGGACATGCGATCTTAAATAGCAGATAGACCAATCCTTCAAACTGAACCATAGGACCTCACTAAAACTGGGAAGGTCTGAGAAATTCCCAGTGACTATATCAGAAAACATATATTGCATACAGAAATTCTCCGTATGGTCATAAAGAAAAGGAGGTATCTGTAACCTGAAAACCATTGGGCAGTAATCTTTCCACTTAAAATCTTCTGATTGATGGGGAGGTGTCAATTGTGACCCTTCTTTATGAAAATTCATCCAAAAGCTTGCCCGGGGGCCAAAGTCTGATGCTCTAACTTCTCGTCTCAGTACGGGTGTAATTTTCCCCACAGTGTATCTGGCCAAATCTAACTTATATTCAGCATTAGGTTTTCCAAAAACAATGTGACTTAAAATTAAGTGAGGACCAGATACGGATTCTTCATCATGATAAATGTAATGTATCTTTCTTTCTATGCATTCTTTAAATGGAACCATAAAATTTAAATTACAAGTAAGAAACATTTTTGAGCGGTACCTGCAACAGGTTCACAAGCAAACATAAATAGTTAATCTATTATCCCAAAGAGAAAAAGCTATTTAAATTGTTAGTTTATACTCATTTGGTCAATCATTTTACACATTTCTTCTAGTTTTCCATTAATATATATAAGGAAATTAAATTACAATAGCTGTTTTATACTCGTTTGGTCAATCATTTCACACATTTCTTCTAGTTTTCCATTTCCATTAATATATATAAGGAAATTAAATTACAATAGCTGTTCAAACTCCAGTCTGGATTAACTATACAGTGGTAAACAAAAGCAATAATAAAATATAGAAAGGTCAACAAATTAGAAAATTAAGAGCCACAATGTCTGATACAAGGAGAAGGGTAAATAAGGATAGAAGTTAGAAATGAAGGACAGACCTGATTCCAAGCTGCAAACTAAGCATTAAATCATAACTCCTATGGCCTTTAATGATTGTTTCACCTGGCCTCTTAACCTCTTTTGCTAACTTCTTTTGTCTCCGTTTCGCTCTTCTGGATGATGATGAAAAACTATTATTCAACACAAGCTCACTGATTAAGACACCTTGCATGTATTCACGTTCTAAGATTGGTGCATTTATTTCACTCCCCTTTTCTCCCCCTTCTATGAAAGAATCAGATAAGTCAAATGACGAATCATGTCCAATCACTTTTTCAATAGATACCTCTAGACTCCAACGTCTTTCCAAGGAAACATTTCTGTTGCAAGACTGCTCTAGATTTAATAAGTTCCTTTCTGATAGCTTATCAGAATTAAGATGAGATACCTGGTTGCCACCAACCTTGACACTTCCCATGTCTACAGAAGAAGCATGGTGGATATGTGAATGGTTCTGCTTTCTCAAATCTGGTAACAATCCTCTTTTTCTGAGAGCATTGAGGTAAACTTCTCGTAAGGCAGGAAGCCGGCTGCCTTTTGGATAAAATGATCCTTTTCCATCCTTTAAACCCCGTGTCCAAGTTCCTACATAGCAACCACCATCACTCCAAGTGTACACTCCAAATCCATGCATTATTCCATTTAACCAGCTTCCTTCAAAGGAGTCTCCATTTCTCCAAGTGAGAGTTCCTTTGCCTGACATTTTCCCACCTTTCATATTCCCTAGATAAACGTTTCTGTTCAACCAAGTATATTTTCCAGGACCTTCTGGTGTTCCTTGCATCCAAGAGCCTTCAAACACATCTCCATTAGGATAAACTTGATATCCTAAACCATGTTTGAGATTCAACTTCCATCTCCCCTTATAAGTCAATTTATTAGAGCCAATATATGTCCCAGTACCATGCATATAACCACCTGAGAATTCACCATCATAAACAGTTCCTGAAGGCCATTGTATTTTGCCAATCCCATGCCTCATCCCACGTCTCCACTCTCCCTCATACACACAACCACCTTGCCAAACATACTTTCCTTGACCCTCTGGCACGTTGCCCAGCAATGACCCAGAATAAGAGTCCCCATTCGGAAGCAAGAGTTCTCCAACTCTAAATTCAGCAGTTTCAGAACTGTGGACAGCATCACCATTAGTTAGTATAGAACCGTCATCTTTGTCAATGATGGCATCAAGAGATTTTGATCTTTCTGCTTGAGAAAGTGCTCCTTCCACATTATCAACAGTGACCACAGGGCCAGACATGCAAGATGCCTCAAAAGACTACAGTTTCTTACAAGATAAAATTAAGCCAATTCCAAGGCTCTTAGACAATATAATACACCATTAAAAAGAATCTTACAATGAGATTCCAATGATAGTACCTTTCAAAACTCTCCTTCCTTTGATCTAGAAATAGAATCACGAATCCAGACTATTCATTAGGAGCAGAACAACGTATTTCAACAGTGTAAAAAGATTTTCTAAAGCATACGAAAATCCTACTTAATGATGACTTCAGATTGTAAAAACAAAAGAAACCAAAATCAAGTGCTTGATTGCAGCATCTAACATACTAGAGCAGACTCTTAATGGAAATTAAACTCTAAAATCATATAAATACACAATTAAAACATGAGAAATTCAAATTAACTAAATTTTCATAAAAATGAAGCTTATAAATTCTAGATTCAATAACTACAAGATAAATCCAATAAAAACAAACTCCTAGCACAAAATCTTTCAATTCTATCTCATCTTTTAGCTTATTTTTCTTCTCTACTCATTTTAAATGAATACAAATCCTTCTAAATTCACTTACCAATGCTCCTTCAAAATCTATCACCTAGCAAACAACAAAAATTGAAGAAAATAAAAAAAAAAGTATTTAAACAAAACTACCAAAAAAAAAAATCTACCAATCAACAAATTCCACCAGTTTTTCCACCGTGCATAAATCAACTCAAATGAACTAAAAAATTGAAGCATCATTATCAATATACGTATTCCTATACAGTATATTCTAAGTATATACGTACAAAAGTGATGAAAGAGAAGACAGAGAGTACCTTTAAAGAAAAATGATAGAGAGAATGGACGACGAAAGCAAAAGAGAAAAAAGGAAACAGACTGTAACGATGAAGAAGTTCCGTTGATGTTTTTAAAAGCTGACAATCTAAAACTCTCTCGCTCTCTCTCTCTGTCTTTGGTTTCGCTTTTGAAAATCAATCTGTTCGATGGTGACGATTTTGAACCGAATCTAAAGCTAGAAAAACGAAGCCCCAACAAATTCAGTAAGCAAACGAAAATGCAAATAAATAATAAATAAAATCCAAGCATGCGACGGTTAGTGAAATGACGACTTCACCCAACTCCTTCCCCTTTTGATTTTTGACAGTTAATGGTAATAATTGGCTGATTAATTTTATCCGTTTAATTAATTAAGATTAGGAAGAAGATTAGTTTAGTTTATTTAAGAAGGCGATGAAAACGTCGCTTGCTGATCGGCTGTAGCTCGCGTGTGAATTAAGTTACAGCGGCGGGGCTTGACTCGGGGTGGCTGCCGTTCGATAGTGACCTGGTGGGTGGGGGCCACGATTTATATTGTATTAAATAATATAACAGAAAATATAATATGCATTTTTTTATTAAATTCTTGTTTAAATTTTATTAAAATTTTAAATCATTTACTGTATCCTAACTTTTTATGGCCTTTTGGGAAGGCTGGGAGTGGGACCGTAGTTTTGGAACGGTGGATTTTTTCAATTGTGGGAAATTAGTTAATGATGAGACCTTTTTATCTTCAGTAAAAAGAATTGTAAAAAGAGTGTTTGGTGGAAGATTATTAGATTAAGACATAGCCATTTCTTTCAATTTTTAATTAATTAATTAAACAAAGGTGGGTTAAACTTAGTAAGCTTTTAATTGGTTAATAATTTTTTTAATGGTTTTCTAGGGGTATGATTAGCCACTGATTACCACAACCCTTTCTTTGTACTATATTCATTTTTTTAATTTGAGAAAAGAATATTTAAATCTATTTTTTAATGGATAAATCACTTAATTAATTGCTTGAACACATATCTTATAAATAAAAGTTAACTACCTGTTTTGTGAACACTTATCATATGGGATGAAATTGGTATTTTTTAAATTGATTATAGTGATTAGAGTTCAATTTCATAATCTTAAAGATACAAAAAAAAAAAAGAAAGAAAGTTAAAAAGTGATCTAATGGCAATCATATTAAGCTAAGAGAGTCTGATCCAATAGATAATTCATTAGTAAATAATGGTAGATTAATTGAAGTTTTATTATAATCTTTTGTCTGCAATAATTATAAATGTACAAACCAATATTTTAGGACAAGGTACATCTTGATTCAAGTTATATATTTTTTAACGAAGTTATATACTTAGTTTAGGTTTGGATTTTGAGCTCATGAATCAAAATGTCAATTTCAATTAGATTTATTCGGTATAAATTTTTTATTAAAATTTTTTTAATCGTAGTTACAATAATTTTTTTTCAATCGCAAGTATAATAATAATTATTATTATTTTTAATCTTATTAAAATCAATCTCATCATCTATTCAAATAGAGTTTTAAATTTTTTAAAAAATTGCATCTAAAATTTTCTCACCAATAACAAAGTACTTGCATTAGATTTTGAGGAATCAACAACTTATTTTATATATATATATATATATATATAATTATGATCTACAAAATAATAAAAGATAGTAGGATTGAAAACATATGAAGAGAAACTTCTCCTATTATAAAGTGTATCCAGTAGAACCCGGTGGAGAGAACTATAGGAGTACAAAGATTTCATATAAAAATATTAAGTTTTTGTTTTAAAAAAAATAAACCTATAAGAAATATATAATGCTATTTAATTATTATATAATTGTTAAATATACACCATTAGTCTATGAAATAATAATCCTTAATTTTTCTGTTTAGATAAATCTAACATTAGAGAGTAAAAAATTGAAGAGAGGGGCTGCTAATTATAATTAGAAATAGGATAAGAACAATTGCCATATTGGATTATTAGGTGGAAAGTTCATGTAATCCAAATTAGCCAGTTTGGGATGTTGTTTAGGGATTCCCTCTCCCATAGAATCCAGTGAGAAAAAGGTGTTAATATGTTAGCTGTCCATAATCATAATTAGCTTCGTAAACTTTTATTATTATCATTATCATATTATTTTATATATCTAAGTTGTAATAGGGGCTGGTTTAGCATTAAAGTTGAAAGCGGATTTTGTGATGAAAAATTGCTTCAATACTAAATAACAAAAAAAATGAATTTTTAATTTTAAAATATGATTTGTAAACCCTAAAAAAATTTTCTAAAGAGATGCTTTTGCATTCAACCATAATTTTTTTAGGTGAAATGATTTTATTATATTTGTATTTTTAAAAATTTTTCAATTATACTATTTTCAATCAAAACTAAATATGATAAAATAACTGCTATCCAATGGATTTGATTCATTTCAATTCGATAAAAAAAAAATTTTTTTTTAAATAAGAAATCAAATAGAATCAAATACTTTTCTCTAAGACTTCATTCGGGTTGTAATGTATTTTAAGTGACATCACCCCAATCCACCCAAATATATATAAAAATATATTTTTATTATTTACTTAATTTTATATTTTTATATATATTATACTAATAAAATTATTAATTTAAGATATTAATTTAATAAAAAATGCTATATTTATGTAAAATTAAAATATAATTTATATTAAAAATATTTTATAAATATTATACTAAATTAAAATTATTAAATTAATTTCGAATTGAGTTGGTTACGGTTAATGAATATACGGGTTAAATATAAAAAAAAATTTTTTTAATTTAGATATAAATATTAAGATGTCAGATAAAAAATGAATAAACAAAAATTCAAATGGATTCATTGTCATCCCTAATTGTAATAACAATAATAAAATATACCTAATCTTTTTTGTCCTTAGATACATAGCATAACGTAATTAATAACCAATGGCCATGATATAAAGGTTTGGTTGAAGGAAACTTCAACAATAAATTATTTTGCTGGTCAACAACCTTCTTATATTTTAGGAACAAAACTTGACTGATAATAATATATTATAGTACATAATCCAAAATTTTAATGGCAACTACAAATAAAGTTTTCTAGTGAATTTGGTACTTGTCTTTTGATGCAGTAGGTATTACTGTTGAAAAACAGTAAAAAGAACACCCCACCATACATCAAATTAAATCTCATATTTCACCTTTATTAAAAAGTTAATATTTTTTCCTTAAAATGATACAATCCCTCTTTGAATTTCAGATTTATAAGTTTCAAGTGCATTATTTTCTAATTTGATATATTAGAGGAAGATGAAGAAAAGTTAGAGGATTCAAGCCTTATGCTTCAATTTAAAACGAAGAATCATAATCGCAAAGCGAAATTAATTTAATTTAGTTATATACGAATTTATTATATATTTCTATCTATAAAGAAAAATATATAAACCACTAGAACACAAGAAGAAAGTCCTTGAAAATATATGGACAAAAAACAAGGAAAATAGCAGACATATATATAATATGTAGGTTTCTTTTAATTTGTGTTGGACATTGTTTGGGTTTGGGATGGTATGTGGGAATAGTCTAAAAGAAGTGAACAAGAATGAAGTTGTAGAGAAAGAAAAGTTGGATGTTTGGGACAGAAAATGGTAAAAGGTGAAAGAGCACTACAGATATGTCTATAGTGCACGTCACATTCTTCTCTAATATTCATCAATGCAATCCATGCAATACAAATTTTCTGAAGAAAAAAATGTTTGCCATTGCCCCCGTCATATCTTATAATGTATTTTTGCTAAGATAATGTTTTTTTTTTAAATTGAAATATATATTTGACATGTCAATTGTTACCAACTTTCTCTCTTTCTGTCTTTTTTGTTATCATAACTAATATATATATATATATATATATATTAATATGAACATGAAATTAATATATGCACTTAACTAATCATTAATTCAAATTTCAAGTTAGTGTTGTATTTCAAAAATTTTTTAAAAATATTTTCATTTTTTAAATTCTTCTAATTGGTTAATCCTATTAAAGTTTAAAGCGAATTTAAAATTTAACTTATATGATTGATATAGTTATATTTAAAAAACAATATTTGATAAATTTATGATTCAAATATTAATATTTACAATTTTTTATACCCAAATTATTACTTCCTTTATACAAAAAAAAATTGAAATCAATATCCAGCCATTTTAACTCGCATGAATGCCTTAGAGCCTTTTTTTTTTTTTGCTAAAAAGCCTTCGAACTATAGGCTGGCTCGATGGCATAATTATCAAATGCGGTGGATATTCATTACAGAAGCCCCGTTTGGAGTCAAAACGGCATTGCTAATTGAAGAATTGGTACGTACCTAACAAAGGAATTAAGCTTTTTTATGTATGTTTGCCTTTAGTTTGAAAAATAATGTGGCAAAAGCATATGGGGAGAATATGAGAGATAGAAAAAATTGGGTCGGTAGCCAGTGATTACAACAAGTGAGGACATTGAGATGCTAATGGGGTCAAACAAACCCTCCTTCCAGCTCCAACATTCCACTGCTATATTTATATCTTCTTATTATTTTGATTTTGATTTAAAAAAAGAAGAAGTCGGTAATTAATTAGTGAATATCTTGTCATTTTCGAAAATTTTTTTTTCAAGTTTCTATTTCCAACTTGGGTGCCATGCCGGCGACCGACCATTTCCATTTTTTTTTGTCTACCTCTTAATTTGAAATATTTTAAAATTGCAACTACCTACATTTATTATTATTATTTTTTAGGATTAATGAAATATCTATATAAATGATATACAAAGTGATTTGTCCATCTTACCAAAATGATATTTCCCTTGAAAAAAATAGTATCATTTCGTTGTCTTGACGACGTTTTTGTTTAAGTAATTATATGTAGTTTTCTTTCTCTATCACTGCTCACAAATCGAAAACTATAATTAGAGCCTTGTTATCTATGTCACCATGG